GGCCCTCCTGGTTAATTAGCCATTTTGCTGTCATTGTCAACTTGGAAATTGTTTCGAAAAAATGTTTATCACATCATCACAGCAACTATGTGATATAAAATGTTTTTCAATCGTTTTTGTTTACATCGTGGATGGAGATTTGTGCTGAATTGTTGTTGCCTTAGCAATACGTAAGGTATGCGCTGGTTCGGTTACGTATTACTCAAAATTGTAAAGAATAATAATCATTAATTTGGACTTTCTTAATTATTCCCTAAAGCTAATCGCCTAGTATAAAAATTCTTTCACATAAATATATTCCCAATTAAATATACACTATCAATCTACAGAAAAAAATTTTAAAAATCCAGCAATTACAACAAAAGTTATAAACATTTAAACTTGAATATTTCTAAAAAAATTCTAAAATTCACTCATTTTACTTCTTTTGCTTTACCGCTACTAAAACTTGTCGGAAGAGCTTGTTACAAATCCGTTATCTAATACAAACTCAGACACCTTCCAAAACCCAAACCCTGCTATTATCCACTACCGGAAAAGGGGAAGTGCTCTTTTCATTCTTTCTTTTTATCATTCATAGCGTACAGCGAAAGGGATTCATGAGATGCGACTTTCCCGTACGATATTATTGTATGCGAAACTTGCACAACTTGCAAAAAGAAACATCTCTGCGTGTTTACTTACTCCGAGGGGTGGGAAATGAGTCACCCGAACGAGCATCAACCCCTCAACGACAAACAACTTGAAAGTTTCACGAGTTTGTAAACAAACACACACTGCGCGCTAAACACACTGAAGCGATTTAAAGCAATTTATTCGCTCGTTGTAAAACAAAACAAATTAAAATTAGAATCAAGAGTGTCACAACATCAAACAGCAATAACACATTCGAAACGCATCAAAATTCTTGCAGTGCTTTGATGTTTGTATAGTTCTACGAGTAGGTAGGTAGAAGAGAAGAGATCTTAATAAAAACCAAAACTACTTTTAGTAAGTACCTATATAGATAGAGATACATACTTTGTTCGACTACGGTTAGGCGCATTCGGTGTATTTTTGTGTGTTTGAGCGGCTGCAGCAGCAGCCAAAAGAAATTAACCGGAAGTGAGTTCTATGCGTATGCACATGCACTCGCTAGACACCAAAAGTAAATTTGACACATTTAGACATAATTTATACTCAAAAGAATAAAAATAATTCAGTTTTATTTAAAATTTTGTTGAAAAAATAAAAATTTCAATTTTTCTTGAAAAAATACAAAATTTTCATTGATTTTCGTCAATATTATTCAAACTAAACTATTTTTAACAAAATATTATGATGTATGAGGTTAGTAATATGTTTGTATGTGCGAAAATATTGATATTTAAGTTAAAAACTATTTGAATTACAAAATTTTTAGAATTTTTTTCATAAAAACCTTAAAATTTCATCGATTTCCGTCAATATTTTTCTTCCTACATGCTTAAAAATATTCTTTAATGCGTGTGTGAGTGAGAGAGCGATTGTATGTAAGTTTATTAACATTTCCACGACGTTAAAGCGCCGGAATGCGGTGGAATGTAGTCTACGCTGGCCGTATGTAAACTTGCACGCGCACTTGTGCATTGTACTTACATACAAGTACTGCAATTGCAAATATGCGAATTCACACACGCCACACACACGCCGCACTCATTTCTGCCAACACAACACACAACATACAACATAACACAAAGCAGATCAGCGTTAATAAACATCTAAACTAAATATTCTCAACGTAAACGCAAAAAACGCAGAAAAACACGCGAAAAAACCATCATAAATAACTTTTGAACATCGCTTAATCTTAATCTTAATTCAAATTCGTTTTATTTACATTTATAATCAAAGCATCTCACAATTTAGCATTTTATGGTAATTATCTACGTAATAAAACGCGCAAAAAGCGCCGAAAAATTACGCGAGCGAGCGAAAGATAAATTTTATTGCAAACGTTTAGAGAAGATTCAAAATAAATTAAGAAAATACATTTAATGTTTTTTAGTTTTAGTTTTGTTGTAGTTGTAAGTTGTGTGTAATGAATTAGTGTAGTGTTGTCTAGTCTAAAGAGTGCACTTGACTTGACTTCTTATTGGAAGCTTCTGGAGCGCGAGAGCAACGCGCGCTGCAGCCGCCGTAATCGCGGCTCGTTATCGCATTAACATCGCGTCCAATTAACGAAAAATTAATTTCAACGCGATTTGCATGCGTACACACATACACAGACGAGCGCGAACCAGCTGCAATTCACCGTGAAATAACGCTACTTTTTTCTTTCACCTCTACAAACGCTAGTAAAGTTATATTTGAAGATAAACAAAAATTCAACAGGGAAATATGTTTTGCTATCGTTATTTATTGATTATTCGAAAAGTATTGGTGATAGAATAAGAATTCTTTCAGTGGAATAATCTTAGATAAATTCTCTATATGCGTGTGGTAAATTTATGTTGATTGGATTATTGCATAAAAAGTTATAAACAATTTAAATTACATTTTTTGTGTTGAAAGAGTAATAATTTTAAAATTATGTCATTCATGCATTTATTATGTACAAAATGATGAGTAAATAGTAAATTTAATTATATTTGTTAGTGACGCGTAATAAAATGTAATAATGTTGTTATTTCTGCATAATAATAATGCAAAACAATTATTTTTAGAGGTTAAAAAGCAAAAATAGTAAAAATAAATACAAAGTAGCTTCGTTTTATCAAAATACTCCTTATAACGTAGAAATTTGTATTATTTAGTTAGTTTATATTAATTTCCTCGTTATAGGAATGAGCTAGAATTATGAGCTAGAATATTTTTTCAAAGTCATGACATCGATGGTATCATTTGAAATATTGTTATAATTATGATCTCCACATTCCTACAAATTGCAATGCAAATTTCTATAACTTAAGCACGATTTTTCAGCTAATTTGTTGGGGTGCACGTTGCGTTACTAGAAAATCATTTAAACATAACACAAGTGAATACAACTGAGCGACGAGGAATTCATATTTAAACTTCAGGAAATATTTACCGGCATTTTTACAAGAGTAATTGAGTTTATAACCATCTTACAAAAAATTAAACAGAAGCCAAATCACGTAAAATCCCTAAATTTGATAATTTTTTGTTTTGCTATTTCTTTTTAATTTGCATGTCAAACTCCACAATTTTTCTATTACCATCGCATGTGACAATCCCCATCCCCTATCATGACATTTTAATGCTAATTCACCTCGATTAACTTGTGATCTTTACTCTATATTACGATTATGCGTCGGTGGCGTGTCTGCCGCTGGCCGCTTTTTGATGTGCGATGCGCGCTTGCACGTACATATTTCACTCTATCTACTCTAGATTCTCGACTGTCTAGACTGAATATGCAAAATCGCAGGCGATGAATAAAATAATGAAGCAGTCCACAACCGTCAGGCACTTCCGTGCCCTAACTACACCTCACCTCACCACGCCACATCATTTAATCACAATGATTTTTATTCTATTTTAAAACCGCCCAACGAGATTTAATTTATTTACTAGATATTACAGTTTAGCGCTGGCTGTCGCATTGGCAGACAGAAAACTTAAGCCCGTGCGCGCATTTTCTGGCCGTCGGCCAAACCAAGAGAGATTCCGCGACATTGAAAACGCGACACGACATTGAATGTGTCTGGGTCGCAAATTTAAAACGCGAAAAAATAAAAAATTCATCAAGAAAAAAACAGCGCGGGCGGCTGGATGTAATTACGCATGAATAATTGATTATACAAGCGCTTAAAAATTAAACAAACACAAAAAAAGATGCAAGTAATCTAATTTTCCTTACGCGCACCCGCAAGAAAACCTCGCGCGTAATTATAATTCAAGGTTAAACTAATATTAAAATTAATTCCACCTTTCAACCTACAAGTTCAAGTGCACCGACATTGAGACTATTTAAATACGTTGTGTGTGTATGTTTTAATTTAGCACACACTGTATACGTTTTGCACGCAAGAGGTTTACGTGAAGAGTTTAGAAGAGCAGCGCGCGAGGCAGGCGCGAACGGCACGCATAGACGCTTCCCGACTTCTGGCCGTTCTGGCCCGCTGATCAGGAGCGTATTATCAGTTAGCGTCTGCCTGCGCGTATTAATACGATAATTAATTATGTATGGTTCAGATACGGTCAGCGCGCTTTTACACACCGCACACAACGGCCACCAGACGCTATTCTAAACTCAAACACTTGAAAAACACAAAAAAAAAAAATGATTTTTTATTTTCCGCGCCGAAATTGAAAGCATTCAAGTTCAAGTTCACTTTATTCGCCATCGACCCCTTGTTTATTTGTGTTTCTCCCCTTTTGGAGAAGTTAAATTGAATGTTGAATGACTTTTAGTCTTTTTGTTAATCAAACAAAACGTTTTATTATATTTCGCGTATGATCTCGTCCAAAATCTTAAAAATCACTTTCGATTCTTTTGAAATAAATACGCATTCATGAATTGCTTTTGATTATTTGCTTTGCGTCACCCCTCTAGACGATCGACAATAGCGTGAAATAATTCTTGTATTACATGCGCGAGCATGTGCCACGCCAGAATCCTTATAGTAATTAATCCGCCGAAATCCCCACTTGTAAGCTCAACACAAACAAAAAAACTAAAAATAAAAGTCACCCTTAGACTGCGGTTGGCTTTGCAATATGAGAAAATTCACCGCAAGTGTAAAATAAGTTGCCTATATGCTAAAAAAAATCACCTACTGCGCATGCGCGTGTATTAAATGTAAAATAATGAATAATGGATAAAGAATAATATTTTTTGACTGATGGATTAATTTCCGGTGGTTTTCGCAAGTATGCGACCTACTTTTATCACAATGCAAATTTTATCGATTTGCTCGATTGTTAATATCGCACACAATAGAAATACGGATGATAAACGACTCGATCGTGAGTTGAAATTTTTACGAAATAGAAAATATGCAAAGATTACTTACCGACTATACTAAATAATGACGAAGTGACTACAACTAAGGCTAATATTGTCCAAGGCGGTGACTTGTGATGAAACAATCCATGCGTTCGTCTTCTCCCTGTAAAAAAAAAAAATGATTAAAAACAAACTGTAGCTGGGTATTTATCATAATTTAGCAAATGCAGATGCGAAAACTAACGGTGCGCGCATGGCTCGTTGTAATTTGTTTGCGCAAAGTGGAGGTTAACTCTTGCATCCAATTGGGTAATTAATGCGCCGCGGCGGGTAATTATCGGCTATTATCGGCGTTTTTGTACGCGCGCAAGATTTGCACCTTTCGTAAAATACGCGCACGTTTACAAGTTACACACAAAGTAATTTAAGGTTATCATGTGCGCGAGTGAGGTTAGGAGAGTAAAAGTGAAAAAGTCATAAAATACGAAATGCGAGCGCGTAAATAAGGCTTAAACATGGGTTTACCAGAAGAAGAAGGGCCAGAAACAAGTCGGGCGCAATTTCGCTTTCAAATAAAGAAAGAGAGCGAACGGGCAGGCGGGCCACAAGAGGGAAGAATATTTGGCAGCTGCTTGTGCCGAACGATATAAACGTCTACTAAAACTCTCTCGACAATTCAATGCCAACTGAAATGTGCTGTGTTCGCATTTGCAAAAAGTACGAATAAAACGCAAACGAGACGGAAAATTAACTTATAAATCGTCTAGAAGTGGAAAAACAAACAATATGTTTCGTGTACATTCAGTTGCATACATAAAATCATTACTGCGCATGTGTAGTAGGTAGTGCAAAAAAGTAGAAAAAATAGAAAAAAAAACATGAAATCACTTTGTATCTCAGCCAAAAACTGTAAATTAACTTATAAATCGTCGAAAAATCGAAAAATGAGTAAAATATTTCATGTACAATTGGTTGCATACATAAAATTTATTCTGCGCATGCGTACTAGTGCAAAAAAGTAGAAAATGTAAGAAAAATCATAGAATCACTTTGTATTTCTGCCAAAAACTGTGAATTAACTAATAAATCGTCTAAGAGTCAAAAACCAAGTAAAATATTTCATGTACATTTAGTTGCATACATAAAATCTTCACTGCGCATGCCCAATAGTGCAAAAACATAGAAAAAAGTAGAAAAAACACAAAATTACTTTGTATCGCTGCCAAAAACAGTAAATTTAAAAACAATCCAAATTTTATAGTGGTGATAAAATTTGATAGCTATTGGCAACGCATGCGCATGCAAATAAAATCGCTTCACTTCTTCAGCCACCGTTTTTTTTTTTCATTTTTCGTGCCCAGCTCGTGCCCGTACATTTAAGCGCTCCGAAACACGCAATCCACACGCACAAAACACATAATTCCAACAAATTATTACGATTATAACCAACACACAGGCGGTCGGAAGGCGGAAGAAGTCATTGACTGATAAAGAATCAGAGTTTCAGACCAAAAAGACCAAAGAAACAACTTGTTATGTAGCCATTCCTTATTCTTAATACCTTCTTCCGTTTTCTCTGTAGATGATGATAAAAATAATGTTCATGTTCATGGTCACAACTTGCAAACGCAGCTGGAAGGGTTGCAAAAGAACCGTTTTGAATTTAGTCGACGCAAATATTTAACAAGAAGTTCATTAGTTCTTCTTCTTCTTCGTTGTTTTTTTTTCTTCATGGAAATCGTGATAATTACAAGTTTAACATCGCATGTCTTCTAACTAATTGTAATTGCTAAATTTTCAACTAGAGACAATACGATAATTACTCTCGGCGAGGAAGTTGTAAGTTGTGCATGTGTGCGCATGCGCACTAGCGCAAACTACATACACACATTTTTCAAACATAAAACATACAAAAATAAATCAATTGTGGGTATTGTGTACGAGTAATGCAACTTCCCTGTTTTTTGTGGTTTGAAACTTTCCCTGCCGCGTGCGGTTTGTGCCCTTTAGGGCTTCCAAAAAGAAAAAAGAAAAACAAACCACCGCTATTGCTCTGCGTGCGATAACTTACTATTGCTATTACGATTACGATTACTTCCACGTCGGCGTCCGGAGAGTCTCTCGCGGCGGCGGTAGTAAAGTGAAGAAGACGAAGAATGAAGAAAAAAACGCGCGCACACACCGCTGTGGGTATGTGGGTCGATGAACCGGCCCTTTCTCGCGTGCGCGCCTCCGCCACAAAACGCGCATACATTCATAAACACATACATAAGCACGGCAAGCGCCAAGCGCACAACAAACTAACCGCTCATCGGGAGTAGAGTAAAGAGTAAAATCTTGTAATTTCTATTCAAGAGAAGCAGCGCAGGCGTAGAAAAGTTATGAAAATTGTATTGGAGTTATAATTGTGATGCCCTTGGTTAGGAATGCGGTTTTTAATTAATTACAGGGAAACTAATCGATGGATATTAATAATTCTTTGGAATATTGTGAATTGTTAAATTCTTTATAGATTGGTGAAAGAATTTGTTAAATATTTAAATTGAATCAAAAGTTATTAACAAATTAGTGAAATTTTCGTTATGCAACTTTAATTGTTAATAACTTTTTACATAATTATTGTAATAAGATAAACTTTAGTATAATTTATCAAGAATTTAATTCTTAATCATTTCCTGAAAATTTTATCATTTTATAACAAATAGTTTAGGAATTATTAATAAAAAACTAAACATTTCCGCAAAAAATTCGAGTTCGCGGTCTCCGTGCTCAGAATGCAGTAATTAATTAATTACTCGAAAACTAATCGATGGATATTAATAATTCCTTCAGTGTTTTGTGTAGAATTAAATTCTTTATAAATTGGTTAAAAATATCTTAAATACCTCCATTGCATAAAAAGTTATTAACAAATTAATAAAATTTTCATCATCCAACTTTAATTGTTAATAACTTTTGACACAACAATCCCAAAAACACCAATCATATAAAAATTAATGCAGAATTTAATTCTTTATCAACCCATAAAAGAATAATCACTCTATAATAAATATTTTCTGAATAATTAACAAAAAACTAAAAACTTCCGCAAAAAAAAGCCAAGATAATCCATACAAATCGTCGATTGTACTCCTATACTCCAACTTCGAAAGTTGGCGCAGAAACAATTCGCGCGGCACGGATTACCGCATTACACGGTATAAAACGGCAATTAATTCCGACGAGCATTAACATTACCAATTAAATTAATTAGTGCGCCGCCACCACGCAGCCAAGTGTATACTACCTCCGTACGCGCGCGCGCACAGCACACGTAGTAAACCACTCATACACTTGCAACATTTAAAACAGGTGAACGAAACCACTTGATTCATGATTGTTTGCATTACTAAGTGGTCAACGTACAGATAGTAGTGACTACTATCAATTAAAAACGTGCATTGAGTAAAAAATGATTGAATATTGAAAAATTGCATCCCTTTGCTACTAATTAGTATCAATCAGGTTCATTTACGATGCACACTGGTAATATAATTGCAGCGTCCGTGGTGGCGCAGACACAAATACTGAATAATGAATGCAATGCCATCAAACAACGAGTTCATTAACAGCACGTAACGCACATTTAATTGCCGGCGTGCAAAAAATACAAAAACAAACACAAACGCAAAGAGTTATTAAATTTTTTAACTCGCGTTAGCTGCTGCTGCTTTCTTTTTGTGCGGTTTGTGTAAGCCGAATGTAAAAGTCATTCATTATGTTATAAATGTTTAAACGCTGTGTTTTGTGTAAGTTTATGCAATTTTTTGTTAGTTGCTTAGAGTTTTGATATGTATCGACTTTCTATTTTTTATGCAATCAAATGAAAGGCATATTATGAATATTAATTGTGTGGTATTGTTAAATTTGTTGCGTAATATGATGTAATTTAATGTAATAATGGAGTGGACAAGCGTAAAAAGGAAAAGAAGTTGCCTAAGTGTAAAAATGTGTCGAGAATGTTAAATTTTTTAGAAAATAATTAATAACTTTTAAACTATAAGTGTAAAAATTATTATTTTTATAGATTACGTTCAGAATTAAATTATGTATTAGGAAATGTAAAAATATTGGTAATTTTATTGTTATAAACGAAGTTATTGGCATTTAAAGTGAAATTTTGAATTATAATCTTTAAAAATCTGTAAATAATTATAAATAAATGTTTTTAATAAAATTTTGAGATAAGTTGAAAGAGAATTTTATAATAAATAAAATTCTAAAAGAATAATTAATTTAACTTTATTCGTTTTCGAGTAATTAATAAAAAACTAAAACATTTCGCAAAAAAAATCACTTATATTCTATAAAAACAGAAATTTTTAGAAAATAATGAATAACTTTTAAACTATTAATGTTAAAATTATCGTTATTATAAGAATGCATTCAGAATTAAATTCTGCGTCAGACAAAGTAAAGATTTTATAAATTCAATTATCATAAACAAAGTTATTCGCAATTAAAGTGAAATTTTTAATTAAAATGGTTAAAACTCGATAAATAATTATAAAAAAAATATTTTTAATAAAAATTTGACGTAAACCAATAGATAATTTCATAATGAACAAACTCCTAAAAAATAATTAATCTAACTCTATTACTTTCTGAGTAATTACCAAAAAACTAAAATTTTTCAAAAAAAACTAAATTGATTCCTATGTGTACGTATCTATTATTACAAGTTTGATTCGATTTTCCATTTTATTGTGTTTGTGTTTGTGCTTGCGTTGGATATAAAAGATGAAACGAAGCACAAACCACGTGGTGAGCAATTAACGACGCTCGATTCGGTCTTTTATCCGCCACACCGCCACACGGTACTCATCATCGCAGCATCCGCAGCCGCAGCAGAAGCAGTGCTAGTAAATAGTAAAAGTTGAGAGATGCTTGTGCTTATTTCTGCTTGTTTCTGAATCATAGAGGCAGGCAAGGCAGGCAGACAGCCTCGGCCGCTGCTGCAGCTTCTGTGTCTCGCGAGGCTCGTCTGTCTCGCACCGTTCGTTATGACCGGGTGTTGCTTTCATTCAGGAATTCCATTCCATTCGACGGTATATATCAAACAATTCCGTAAACCGTAAACCGTGCGCGCGCACGCCACGTATTTATAGCATTTCGGAATTAGAG